ATGGCACAATAGTATTCCATTTATACTCATATGTTGTTGTTCATCTCTTCCCGAATGAGTTTACAATTGTTTGCCACTTCAAAGAGAGATGCAATGCATATTTTTGTACAAATGGGCCCTCTTCTTCTTTCTTTGACCTTTTGGAGTGGAGGCCCACCTGGGCTTGTTTCTAGCACAGTTCCACTCCACCTCCTTGGTGAAGTTTGTTAGGATTCATGGCAGAGAGGTGGACTTCAGCTGCCATCTATTCCATGAAAGGAATCCCTGCTCTCCGCAAAAGGAATTACTACAAAAGATCATCCACCAGCCAAGCTTCAAGGATTTTCCTGTCAGCGAAATCACAATTCCCATTCCTTATCCCCATATTTAAGGGGAATAGAAATTTGCACCTCTTCACACACACACACACACACACACACACACACACACACAAAGTAATATACACAAAATGCTTTGCAAACCTTAAAGTGCCAGATAAGTATAAAAATGTCAGTTATCATTATTATCATTATTATTATTATTTATATTAGGAAAAGTATAGTATAGGGCTGGCTTTGGAATAAAAAAAAACTGGTTCACATTGGGGCTCTGCCTCTTTTACTACTGGCGCTACCTTGGACAAGTCACTCCTTCTCTTTGGGTCTCAGTTTCCTCTTTTGTAAAATAAAGTTTGGATTGGATGACCACTAAGGCCCCTTCTAGCTCCAAATCTGTGGTCCTGTGAACCTATGTGTTGTCACAGAGGTCCCAGAGACTAAGAAATGGAGTCCATGAGAAGAGAAGAGGGGAAATGGGAGAAGACCAAAGCAAAAGTCTCCTACTTTGCATTTTGCCAGAGGCCAGATCTCATTAAGACACTTTTTTTCCTCATGGCGATTATATGGTAAAATAACTTTCCAGGCAAGAACTCTCTTCCTAAGTAACTAGATATGGCATATAGCAGACTTCCTTCAATGGACCTGGGGTTTCCTTAGTATATGCTCCCTTCTGGGGAGCCCTTCAGAGCCCATCTGTGCCTGCCAACATTGTGTGGCTCCTGACTTATCACACCATCATTCTCCCACAGAGTCTCCACCCAACCACCCAGATCTTGATCCAGTGCTTGGGTACCACTGGAGCACACAGGCCATCCTATCAGTTTTCTATCACATGACCGGCCCATCTTTTTTCCCCAGTCACACATCTCTCTGATTACATCTTTTCTGCCACTTCCCTTGCACAATTCCTCATTTGTAATGGGCTGCAGAGCCTGCTCACACCCACCATGCACCTCTCCGTTACCCTTTGGGTGACCCTTGCAAGATCGTGGTATTTCATGACTCCCAGCCGTACAGAGTCACAGAAAGAATATTGTTGTTAAAAAAAAGACAGGCCTTTGTTTCAAGAAGAAGCTTTGGGGGGGTCATAGAAAACACTGCTTAATTTCCCCAGATCAATCAAGCCCACTCTCCTTCTCCTGTTCAACTCATGGGCCCACATTATAAAGGCACTTAATACACATTATTTGTGGATGACAAGATCAAGACACACCCATCAGGTTACTCTCGTTTCTTCAACTCAGATATTAAAGTGAACTTTATTAGTTTAGTACCAGAAGCGCTAAGAAAAAAATACTCCAAAGATTATGTGGCCAATAACAGTATTGTTGTAGGTGTCTGTCTCTGTCTCTCTCTCTGTCTCTCTCTTCTCTCTCTCTCTCTCTCTCTCTCTCTCTCTCTCTCTCTCTCTCTCCCCCTCTCTACCTGCATCCTTCCCTCCCTGTCTCTGTCTAGTCACACTTCTGTTCTTGAGTTCAGCTTCTTTTTTCTTCCTTTCTACTCACCAGTGTAGCTGACATTAAACTCTAGGCTGGGATCTAAAATGAGATTTTTTTCCCCCTGCCTTTTCCTTTCATGTTTATGGCATGTACAGAAAACTCAGAAGAAACCAAGTCATTTTCTGAACTCCTGTAGTTAGACATTTGTGTGTGTTTTCCTACTGGGAAAGGAAGGAAGGAAGGAAAAAGAAGGAAAGAAAGGAAGAAAGAAGGAAGGAAGGAAGGAAGGAAGGAAGGAAGAGGAAGGAAGGAAGGAAGGAAGGAAGGAAGGAAGGAAAAAGAAGGAAAGAAAGGAAGGAAGGAAGGAAGGAAGGAAGGAAGGAAGGAAGAAATGGAGTAAATAAAACAACAGAGATGACTGCTGATAGATGTCTGGCATCATCAGCCCTTGCTAAGGCTAGGCAGGAACAAGCCCACCTCCTTCTGCTCTCACTTTGGCAAAGGCAGGTCAGCTGCTGGATAAGTTGCCATCCTTCATGCCTTCCATTATATCTTCTCAGTGTGTGCTCAGCCATGTGCAGTTCAATTGAATTCAACAAACAAACGTTTAAGTCCCTACTAAGTGCCTACCCTGTGCTTGCACTCCCAGGTTCCCACAATCATCTTCAGTGCCACAAAACAGGTTTTTCTTCTATCCATGAGTAAATGCCAATGCATTAGCATTGTTGTCTTAAAACTCACGACCATTTAGCCTCCACACATAACCCAGAGCAGACTTCATCCATCAAAAACAGGAATAAAGCAGAAAGAGCCAGATATAGATGAACGCATTCATTCTGATGGTATTTGCTTTTCTCTTGTGTAAACCAGGTGGTGATTGAGAGGGATTTGCTCTTTGCCACACTCCTTGTTGCTTTTTATAATCCAAAGGGAAAGGAAATTCAGGGTGCCTGACTACAAAGCATCACCGTTCAGCTAGCTGTGAAAAGAAATCAGAAACTACACATTTTACTCTCTCCAAGTGCATTTTATTCTCCCAAGTTCAAAAACTATCAGGTGTAGGCTTCTTGTTTTCAGGCCATACACTGGGCATCCAATAATATTCATTTGGCACAAATTTATTTAGCATCTACTATATACAGTGTACTTCAATGAGGAGACTTTAGCACAGGCCATCTAAAAGTTGCCTCTGTATGCAATGCCCTACGGCCAAACGTAGCCTTTTCTCTTTGGATTTAGAAATGAAAACATTACCTGGTGAAAAAAAAAAGGAGATGTGGAAATAGAGCAGAAGTAGATGTGAATTTGTGTGACCTAAAGATGAAAGTATCTCAGGAAGGGTTACTAAGCAGGAATTAATGTAGATACTAGCCCTGCATGGGGCTAAATATAAATACATGAGTCATTACCTGTTCAGGAGCAAGTCACACAACCTTGGACATTAGAGCCAGTTTTATTGAGAGATGGAATGTAGGCTGGGGAAGGGGGAAAAGGAGGTTTGAGGGAGAAAAAAACGCAGGTGAGCTGAAAGCCAGCACAGAGCTTCAACTCCCAGGAGCCCAGAGATCTACGGCAACATCCCCTTCAGGTATGGAGCTGAATCTTTAAGGAAACCAACTCAGGTAGAATAGAAATGGAAAGGCAAGTGACCAAAAAAATGAATCAGCCAGAAACATAATGCAGAGGGCACTCGCTGAACCAACCGAGCAGCTTTTCAGAAATATGGCTTTGGAGGAAAACCATAATTGTTGTCCCCTTCCTTTGAGGCTGTTTACCTGAAAAGAGGAAAGGAGGATATGGAAATTCAACCACTGGAAGGAGTTCTAGGATGCCTAAGTTCAGAGGTAGGAAGCCAATGGCGATTTCATTCCTATACAGATTCTGACCCCTGGTCATAGCCTCTCAGAGCCAGCAAAGAGCTTGCTTCCAAGGCCACTCTTGCCCTCCTTTTCTTTGAGGCCCTTGGAAGTTGTCCTTCCAGTAAGGATGCTAAGGTTTTTCTTTTACAAAGCAAACCATCTCTTGTCATACAAGTGAAGCTACCCCACTTCTTGTAATTACCATGAGTGTTTTTAAAGGAAAGATTTTACCTACCCCAGAGATACAGCCAGGGTAAAAGGAGGACAACATAGGAATGGAAAGGAGCAGGGCTGATACTGAGAAGGGATTTTCCACAGTATTTCATCTCAACCGTAATTATCTAGCAACTGATCTGTGAATAAGTGGAAGCAGATGGCCAAAAGGTGGGAAGCAGGGGCTAGGAGGAAATTGATTTGGAAATGAGGTAATGTATGTGAAGAGTGCTTTAAGCAAACGTAAAGCCCTGTGCCTAGATGCCTATTCCAACCCAGTGATGTCTCCCTGCCCTGAGATCCTATCATGTGTATTGTCTAATTCCATAAGTTGTGGTTTTATGTTGTTAGTTGTGTGTGTGTGTGTGTGTGTGTGTGTGTGTGTGTGTGTGTGTGTGTGTGCTCTCACTCGTGTGTGTCCCAGCTCTTGGGAGACATACTTAAAGGCATGGACTTCATTCTATACTTTACCAGCTTCCCTATCTCTCACACTTCCCCCCACCATTATCATAGCTAGCCCAGAGCCTTATGTGAATTGACACTATAAAAAAAGTTGATGGAGTAATTGATTAGCAAAACAGTTCTTATTATATGGAATCATAATTCTTAAGGCATAATCATTGAATTATGAATTAGCCAAGCCATTAGATTCTCTTTCTTCCAGTCCCTAGATGTGGATGATTTTATGATGGTAGCTCTGCCAGAGAATGAGTTGGAAGCAGAGAGGACTCAAAAACCAGTACATTTCTCCACCTGAAAGGGTTTAAAGTAATGGCTAATGTGTGGTTTGGGGATTATCTCTAGACATTATTTATTCCTGAGATTCCTTTCCCTTATAACCATAGACAATATGATTTGTTTGTTTTTAAAATATCTGGTCCCTTTCTTTATGGATAGAGTGGTGGAACATTCTGGGAAATATGTCTTTGACATTAGGAGAGGGAAGAAAAGAGTCTGAGAATAGTACAGTTGGCACTTAGGACCATAGGATCATAGATTTCTAGTTAGAAGGAACCTTAAAATCTACTTTCTTCATTTTATAGATGAGGAAATCAAAGCTCAAGGAAGTCAGATGACTTGTTCAAGGTCACATGGGTAGAAGGTATGAAAACTACAGTTCAAACTCAGGTCCTCTGAATCTAAATTTAATCTCTTTTCTCTATGCCGTATAGGTTTTCGAGTAATAAAGACTAAAAGAAGGAAAGTTGTTTAAATAGGGCCAGCTCAAAGAAAGCTGACCAGGAGAATGTGTGCCCAGAAAATAGAAAGCCAAATTGAAGGTAATTCTGTGAGTAGATAGATCCAGGAAAGCTACTAAGTTAGAGATGCTTTGAGACCAGAAGTTTTGACCTGGAACTGAAGGGTTGACTTTGGGATCAACCTCTGTAGACAGAGAGAACCTTTCTTTTTCAGTCCAGTAGAGTACTGAATGAAATGGCATTGACTTTGGGGTATTGATTAGAAGGCTAAACTAGGAGGAAGGAATTGAAAACAATTGCAAAAGTATATAGCCAGAAACTACCAGAACCAAGGACAGAGTCGTACACATAATGGACACTTAACAAATGTTTGTTGAATTTCATTGAGTTAATGGTATATAATTTATAGTTCATGAATTTCTCACACTGTAGTTAACATATTTTGTACAAAAGTTTCACAATGATCAGGGAAAATTTTTGAACAGTTTTTTGAGACTAATTTTTAAAATGTATTATACTAATTTTAAGATTTTCCTAGTTGTTGATAATTCCTTTTACTGATCCACAAATATAACATTCAGGTACATGTTAGGAATAGTATTTGGTCCAGGGAGAGAATAGTTATAAAGGAAATTGGGGGGGGGGTGAGATGGATCCAAATCCATCTTCATAATCTTTTTAAAAGCAAAAAGAATCATCCGTCTGTAGCAAAGTTGATCTTCCAATTGCTGTAGCTAAAAATTTTCATCTTTTGGTAAACAGTTATCTTGTGATGATCCTCTTGAATTTTTACTAGGCTGGTTCTCAGAGGATAAACACACTTAGTCTGTTGCTGAGCCTATCTCCATCCTTTCCTATTTAATAGGACCCAAGAGGTCTTACACTTAACTACTATAGCCTTCGAAAATCCAGGGATACCTCCATGGAAGAAATGGGAATGATGTGACTGAAAACTTATAGCCTTTTACTATTGGAATTCCTTACAGAAATTGGCAATAACCTTTAAAGACCCATAGTCTTGAGATCCATGTCATGAGATCTTCCTATAATGAGCTGCCTTATCACACTGTCCTTTTTGGTCCTGAAGTTAAACCTCATTGACAAACCTACCTTTAACCAAACACTAACCATTGTTTTTGAGCCTCCTGTGTCTTCACTGGGAAATGTGGAATAGTAGCAGAAGACTAAATTTAGAATTAGAGGATGTCCATTTGAACCCAGCTCTGCTACTTACTCTACACATGGCCTTGAACAATTCACAAAATTAGGGTTGGATGAGATCATCTATGTCCCAATAGACAGCAGTGTCCTGGAGCTGGCTTGTACTACCTCTCAAGAGCCAACTGTTTGATTTTTTTGGGTAAGCATTTACATAGCATAAATAAGCAAATGCTACAAATTAAGGCTTGTCTAATTGTTTTGTTGATTGTCTATACTTAAAAAAGTGATGGAGAAAATGTTAATAATAGAGATTAAACTTAAAAGTGTGTCCAGCATACATTTCAGAAAGCCAGTTGTTAAATATTTACCAGCACTCCCTTGCCTGTAGAATCAGTGAAAGAAATCCTTATGGTACTGAGTGTCTCATAAATTTTTGACTCTTCAACTTTGGGTCTTTGGGAGAAAGATACAACTTAATCACTACCTCACAACCCCTCAGTTCATATTGAAATGTCATTCATTTTTTTCCCCTCTCCTTTACATTTTCTTTTCCAGATGGTAACAAAAAATAATCCAGATGGGGTGCAGATGCTGTAAAATGATACAAAGGTAAAGTAGATCAAAGATTTCTATCTGAAGAGAACAATTTGGGATCATAAGAAAGCCATGTTTCTTAATTTAGTACACCATTCAGAAACACTTACTTTTCAGGTTCTGAAGGAACTGTGTATTGAAGATAAGCTAGGCATTTCTGTAGATGTGATATCAGTTAAAAAGGTTCAGTCTGTATTTTAAAAGTATTGTGTTGATCAGCATTATAAGTGGCTCTTTAACTGGGGAGGGGGGGAAGTAATCATTCTTTCAATTACCTAGACGGAATGGGTTAAGAATATCATTCTATTGAGACAGAATATGATTTGAACTAAATTTGGCATTTCCAAAGTGGCTTCTACACAAACAAAAAAAAATCTGGGTTTTCCATAGCTGATATCTGCACGTTAAGTTTCATTAGTTCAAAATGGATTGATTCAAACTAAAAATGAATTTATCCCGAAACATATATTTGATTCAAAGAGAAGCTTATACTGGGTTGAAAGACTAATCATAGAAGGTTAGATTAGCATTCATGAAAAACGAAACATTGAGAAACAGTTATTAATGTTGTAAGCACTTTCAGATGAGATCTCTGTATTATTAGTTTTACTAAATTGTAGTGGTATTAAGAATCTAAGCCACTGTGGTTTTTCCCAACCTTTTTCTCCTAGCTATTTCTTTGATCCAGTTCATACGCCACCTGCTGGTTATATCAATGAAGTAAACAGTTACAAGCCCCAGGAAGAAGATGGCATCAAACTCAAGGGCAAAGAGAACAGTGAAATACTAGTACATAAAAATGAGCTTCAGAATGAGGAGCTACAGAGGACTGAAACCAAAAACAGACTAAATAGCACCCAGGAGCCTTTTTGGCATCATCGAGGACCTCTGATCCACGAGGATCATGCAGGTAACTCCGTGACAAAGGCTGACACTACATTCAATGGGATTGGCTCCAGTACTGCTCTGTCCCCCGATGTAAATCCCAGTCTTAGCCGAGGAGAAGAAGTCACTCCCCAGGAGAGCGGCAGTGGGTCTTTGGCTAGTGCTGCAAGTGATGGCGACCCTGTTGAACACTTCATTAAAGAAAGTGACCCAGGGAAACAAGATCATATGCATCTAGCTACAGAAGAGACTCGAGTCATCCTGAATGGAGATTCCCAAGCTTCAGGAGAATGTGCATCCTCCCCAGGAAGTAACGAGGTGTTGGAAGTCCAAAACCACATCATACAACTACCAGTTCTTGACTATCCTCAAGTTGAGGTGCAAGTGATAAACCAGATTGTGGATGAAAATTATTGTTTTCTGAGTAATCACATCCAGACTGAGCCAATGGACAGAGTGGATTATGCAAATGGAGATCACATCTCAGCCCTGTCTTTTTCTAAAAGGAGAAGCTGGGATGCACTAAACGAAGCCATTAAGACTGAGGCCTTAACTATTAACTTTAATGAGGACGTATCTGAACATGACTTTGACTGGAACCCTGAACAGGAGGATGCGGCTGTGGCAGAAGCCCTTGCAGCCCTAGAGGCCGCCACTGCAGGAGAGGATGGTGAAGAGGGGTGATAGAAGGAAAGGGTTACCTCATACATCAGTTAGTAGACTCATTTCTCCTCGTTACCTACAGGGCCAGATCCTCCAGGTAAGTAAGCTACTGCCTGGATGTAAGCTGAACATTTGGGAGATACATTAGTTCCTTTGGACACAGAGTCTGTCATTCAAGTCATTAAAATAATAATGCATTAAATCAGACTGGACCAGCTTAAAGCCTATAGTGATATCAAGTGCAGAAGGAGAGTCAACAAACTTATCTCAGCACTTAGCCCAGTGCCTGGCACATAGTAGGTGCTTAATAAGTACTAGTTGACTGATTGGCCAATTCCCAAATCCCAACTTAGGTACATTTCCAGTAAAATGAAAAGGATCTATGGTTAAACAGGTTCTTTAAGGAAAGAAAACAACAACTATGAAATCTCAGCACCTTCTCTCCCTCCAACAAAAAGCACAGCAAAGTCTCAGCAATTACCAAATACTAACCTGGTCTTTATTGAGCCAAGGCTGGGCCAGCCTCTTCTAAATCATATCCTCATGATCTGAAAGAACTAATGCATTCCTTGGAAGTGTCTAATGTATATCCAGAGCATGGCTTACTTTCAGAAAGGAATCAGGTCCATAAGTAATCATTTACTATTTGTTGTACTAGTTAAAATGGTCAGTTTTGGAGGTAAAGCAGAATTAATCCATGAATAAATGATTAGCCCTCAGTTGGGATATTTCAGACACCTTGACCGTAACTTTTTTTTCCCATTACTATACCTATCTCTTTTAAAGATGGGAGGCAGGATTCCAAATAGTAGCATTGTATGCTTTTACCCCTCAGATTTTGTTTAAACTTGTTTGTGGCCTCAGAGAGAAGAACTAGCAGTGATGGGTGGAGCTGCAGAGTAGCAAAAGGCTTGATGGAAGGAAAAGTCTGAAGAAAACTATATTTAAAATTGGAAGGGTTGGCTTTGGGAGGGAAGAGGGTGCCATCACTGGAGGTCTTCAAGTAAAGGCTAGATAACCAACCACTTGTTAGTAGAGGGAATTGTTGTTAAGATGCAGGTTGGACCAGATAGTTCTTCTAAGCCTGGGAGTGTGTGTGTGTGTGTCTGTTGTGTGTGTGTGTGTGTCTGTGTGTATGCATGCATGTGTGTATGCATGCGTGCACACTAGGCTCTACCTAAGGGGAGGGTGGGCAGGACTAATTTTTCCCTAGCTATCTAAGTATCAAAGCTCCTTAATATTATTGGAAAGTATTAAGAAATAGTATGTGTATCTAGGTAGCTAAATTATAGAAAAGTTGCTGTAGGAAAACCACCAAAGGGAAGGCAGGCTGAGTGAATTTGTTCACCCCAGTCCTGGGAAGGAGACGAGTTCCTTGAGTTCACTTCCCTTCTTGGCCACTGCCACATTGCATGGCCCACTCCCTCCTATTCTTCCTACTTTATAAACATCCAGGCACCTTGATATACCTCACAAGTTTGTGGTAAAGCATTTATAATACTAAACATATTTTGGAAAATGCCAGTGTTCAATAAAAGTTTAAAACTTTAAAAATAAACCGTGTACACCACCCTGAGTCCTAGTATTGAGAAGGTCATGTTCACATGTACATCTCAGTTAATCTCATGTAGACAACTGAGTATTTCAGGGCAAGCTATAATGTTAACCTCTCAAGCAGTTCACCCCTTGAAATCTTTAATGCATATATTTTAGTATTCATTTGTCTTGTGGTATAATGCTCAGATGTGTAAAAAGTACATTGAGTCCTTGTTTAGAAATTCATGGATTCAACAAACATTTATTAAGTACCTACTGGGTGCAAAGCATTGTGCTGGGTGCTGGCTATATAAGATGAAAAATGACCCAGCCCTTGCTTTTGAGAAGCTTACAGTCTTCTGGAAGGATCAGTGTTAAGAATCACATCCTTTGGCATGTTTGAGAGGCACCTAAAACACTCATTGTTTAACAACTGAGTGCTCTTTAATAAATTTACATTACATGCATATTCCTTGAAAAATTCCTCACTGCTTGGTTGCTTGTGTTTTGTAGAGAGGAGTGTGAGATGACTTACACGTGTTTAGAAGATTCCATTTACATTCAGAATCTCCTTTTAAGTTTCTAGTTTGAACTTAATGGAAAAGAGGTCCAGACAACTACTGCAGATCCAGGTCTGTTAAACATTCCCTCAGGGCTGGCAGTCTCTTGAGGGACCAACAGTCTTACACACTCCCAACCAAGGGAGGTAAAAGAGATCCAAAGAAGGGAGAGATGAGAAATCATGCTGACTAACTCTCCCCAGCTCAGATGGTGGCCAGTGGCCAGGCTCCATTAATGTAATCCTTTGTCTGTGGTGCCTTTGAGAAGCCTCCTCTGTGCTGATAGTAGGATGGCTATTTCTGAGCCAAGTGGAGGAGGGGTGGGGAGGGAGGATTTGAAGCAACCCCAAAAAAATTCTTCTTAGTATATCTCCTCAGTGTGTGAGGAAGGGAAAGAATACAAAGGAAAACCTTTTCATGTCCCCAGAATGCTTTAGGGAAAGAGAACTGAATTTTGAATTCAACATAAGATTGGCTTACTACTAAAGAAAGACTAAGATGGCTAAAAATTCAAAACAGGGATTTCAGGACACTCCACTCTCTGTCAGCCCTTACTGTAGTATCTGTTTCATTAAGCATACAGAGAGGTTGGTGCTTTAAGATGAAAAGAAACTTTAATTTGCATTCTGTCATCCAGGGTTCTGCAGCAGCTGGGTGAACATGCATACTAGATCAATTGGTACCTGAATATACATACCTTTGCAAATGTTTTCAGGTCTTTTCAAGTCATCGCAACACTCGGTAAAGATTTGATGGGAAGATGTTAGATGAAGTAGCATTCGTAGAAATAGTGACTTAGCAAATTGCATCATCTGAATGTGCATGGCCAGGTAGAATTATCTTCACACTTAATTTTTGGTATATGCTTATCTGTGTATTGTACATAAGCAAACTGGGCTAGGTATTTGCATTTTTCTTTTTATGAAGGAATTAATTTATCAGGTGAATATAAAAACACATCCAGTTATCCCTTCCACATTGAGACTTTCCCCATTGTGGTTTTGATATATCGCAGGTCAGCATAAGAATTAAATGGGAATTTTGAGGGAGTTTTGCAGAAGCCACAGATGACATGCAAAGCCTAGCAGACGACCCAGCGCCTATGACCGAATACTTAACCCAAATTTTACAGTAAGGGACTGTGAACACCCCATAAAAGAAAAAGAAAAAAAAGCATTTCTCTGATAACAAAGGGCCAAAAACTTTTACATGGATTTTCCAGATCATGGGGGAACTGCATCCCTAACCACAGTGATGTGGAAGGGATAATTGTATATATGTGTCACTTAGGCAAGGTATTTATTCCTAGAAGAAGCATCCAGGAAAAGCTCCAGAGCAAGCCATGATGGATAAAACAAATGCCCTAAGGTAGCAACAGTCAGAGTTGCTGTTGTTTTTTAATGGAACATATAACATTGCTGGATGGTCAAATGTTTGGGAGAAGTCTTTTTTTTTTTTGCTCCTCTTTGTCCCACTGATGCTGCACGCCCCCTCCCCCCATAAAAAAAAATCATGGAACAAATATTACTTTCTTCATTAACAGAGCAATGGGAATAAAAAAAAATGTATTTTCCAAAGTGATTCCATGGGGAAGGGCTTCTTTCTTTTCATCACTAGTTTTCCCATCATCAAGTAATAGTTGAAACGATGAAACATGTAGTCACTCCCTTCCCACTACAGTCCTGATTTCCACATTCCAGTAACATGATATAGCAGTTAGGATTGGGGATTGGGATGACCTCTCTTTAAATCCTGCCTCACACACTTACTGATTATGGACCCTAGGCAAGTTACCTACCCCCTCTGTTCCTCAGTTTCTCATCAAAATAAAGGGTTGAATGGATTCTAGCATCTCTTCTGCTCTGTCTCTGTGCTCCCGTGACTTGAGTTCATCTATCTTTTGTGCAGACTGGACCCTTCTTTTAGCTTTTGCCCCAGTTTTATTCTTAATAAACAGTGATTCCTATTTGTAGAGTTAAGGAGTTGACATGACAAAAATGTGGAAACTCCTTTTCTATTTTTTCAGCTACCATGAAACTTCATTAATTTGGACTCCAGTCATTTGACATATGTCATGACTGGAATGGAATTTACCTTTGCTTGTCAAATCCTTACTTTGTAAATAAGGTGATTTAGTCACGCAAACAAGACCCATAAGCAACATACTTTTCAATTAGATGGATGTATTAGCTGTTTGGCTGCGATGTTGATCTCAGACAAGCTGTTATCTTCCAGCCCTGACATGCTATGATTCTATTTCAGAACAAACTTTTTAAATATTTCATATAGGAAAACTATATACAATTTATTCTTATCTACTCATTAAAATAGGTCCCCTGAAGGTTTCTAGTAAGTGACATTATTTACATAGCTCAAGCTTCTGTATGTACTGGAAAATAATTGTATGGCCTTGCTTTAAAAACATGCCATAATTTATAATTTTGACAAACAGACTGGTCTTTCCACTTGGTCTGAATAGGGAGATTTTACTGTTATCTATATAGAACCATGCAGATAGGAGAGCCAGAAGAGATTGAAGAACCTATGGCAATTGTGTGTATAAAATGATACTGTCTTTAAATTGATGACAACCTGGATCAGAAGACAAAATACAGATTGATCCACTAAGTTATTAGGGAAACCAGTGTTTGAAGTCTGTTTATGAAGCTCTACCATGTAAGCTCCTTGATTACGATGATGCCTCATTTTTCATCTTTCTATGTCAAGTCCCTTTTTCATCTTTGTACTTCTAGTGCCTTACAGATAGTTGGCACTTAATAAATGTTTGTTGACTTGAACTGAACTTGACTGACGTTTCTTTTAATCACCCTGAACTCAAGTTTCAGAACCCCATTTCATTTTTTAATTAATTAATTTATTTTTAGTTTTCAACATTCGCTTTTATAAGATTTTGAGTTCTAAATTTTCCCTCCTTCCATCACTGCCCCCTCCCCAAGATAGCATGCAATCTGATATAGGCTATACATGTATGATCATATTAAACATATTTCCACATTAGTCATGTTGTGAAAGAAGAATCAAACAAAAGTGAAAAACCACAAGAAAGAAAAAAAAATAAAAAACAACAAAAGAAAGAGAAAATAGTATGCTTCAATCTGCATCCAGACTCCATAGTCCTTTCTCTGGATGTGAATAGCATTTTCCATTATGAGTGTTTTGGAATTGTCTTAGGTTATTGGGTTGCTCAGACAATCTAAATCTATCAAATTTGGTCATCATACAATATTACTGTTGCTCTGTACAATGTTCTGGTTCTACTCATTTCACTCCGCATCAGTTCATGCAAGTCTTTCCAGGTTTTCCTGAAGTCCACCTGCTCATCATTTCTTATGGAACAATAGTATTCCATTACATTCATACACTACAACTTACAGAATCCCATTTTTAAAATTATTATGAAATACTTCATGTTCTTTTATTTTCCCAGCTCCCAGAAGTAAAAAACAAAATACATGGGGCAATATTTCTTGATGCCTGCCTCATCACTGCCAGTTCATACAATCTGGAAGATGCTGGACATTGTAAAACTGCATTCATGCAAACTCAGCCTCTTTGTTGAAACTTTCCAGAACCATGATAATCAACAGAACTTTCCTGAGGTTGAAGCCAGGCAATGGAAATTAGAGGGTATCTTGCTTAGAATAGTATGGCATAAAATATCCTGAACAAGAAATATAAAAGTAGCCTGATCTTTAGTTTCTAAGCTATCCAGAGATCAGTGATGGCCATGCTGATAAAAATAGATAGAGACTAAGTCTTCACTGGGATCTTTTCCCAAAGCCAATGATCAAAATGCTTTAATCTCTGTTACTGTGAATCAGTTTTAATTCCAATAACATCTATGATTTAAAAAGAACCAAGTATCAAAATATCCATCCAAACACTCTGAATCTACGGTTGTTTACACACTGTGCTGCCAATTCAAGTGTGCTTTTGGGGTGCGCGTGGCATTTTCTCAAGCGCTTACATTTGGAATAATTTTAAGTCAAAACCTGACCAAGCAACCAGCATGGAGCAACTGAGTTTTGGTCCAAGTTATTAAATTATTCATCCCAAGCTTGCATTAGAGAAACAGATCTATAACAATGAGAGTGTTTGGTCCAATTTGTATCTTGTAACCTTTAAAGTTAAACAACAAGGTTCTTTCTATAGGTTCCCTGCTTTTTAAAAATGTCCATAAAACCAATTTAGCTTTTTAGTTCAGGAAAGCAATATGACATGGGGGACAGAAAAAGAGCCTTAAAGTCAGGAAGGTCTGGCTTTCAACCTTGCCTCTCATGCATACTGGCCTGGTAACCATGAGCAAGTCATTTAATCTCAAAGGGTCTTGAAAGCTCCATAAGATGGTAGGAGTTGCCAGGATCCTGTGAAGGGACTTTCCATACTGGAAGGGAGTTTCCATACTGGCTGTTACCTTTTATTGCCAAGATCACAGGTCTGAAACACACACAAAAAATAAAAAAGGAAGCGGGGGTGGGGAGGGAATCCTTCACTAAAATCCGCATTGTGAGATGAAAGTTAATCTGGGCTCAAAAAAGGTGTGCCTGCAGGGTCCAATCTCTGATAGCTTCTACCAAGTAGTTCCTGCCACCCTGTGTCTACTTCTAGTGAAGTAGATCCCACTGCTTCCCATTCAGCTTTCACATAGCTCCAAAAATGTGTAAAGGACATGGGGAAGGCTAGGAGAGACACTGTCATTATAATTTGGGTAATCTCGTTAAGCCTGAATGCTAAATTACAACTATGACACTATTTTTAAAAAGTTTCATGAATGGTTCTGGTGATGGTCTTCATGTGTGTTGAAGATCAATCCTGATAAATTCAATGAGGCTCATGCCATGATGAACTACAGGAGAATGACAGCTTTGGCCATTTAGCCATGACAGCTCTCACAGACCATCCACTAAATTATAAAGGGGTTGTGATCAATTTTAGTGGAAGGAGTATCCACATTGACAAAATTATAGATCCTCGAAGTAAGAAATAATAGCTTAGTAAAGGCAAGCACAGTATTTGGAATAGAAGTTCATTCATTCATTCAATAAAAATTGATTTGAGAAGCAGCAGGGATTATGGAGTACTGGACCTGCCTCAGGAAAGATCTAGGTTTGAATGTAACCTTTGGCACTTACAGTTGTGTGAATATGGGCAAATCCCCAACCTCTGAGTTCAGTTGCTTCATCTGTAAAATGGAGATAATGAATTTCCAAGATTATCAGGAGTATGAAATGAGAGAATAGTGTATTTATAGCACTTTGCAAAACCAGGCACTATTTAAATAACAGCTATTATAAGAAGGCAGTGTAGAACTGTAGAAAGAGCGCTGGAGTTGAAGTAGAAGAACTTCCATTGAAATCCCAGCTTTACAACTTAGTACATGGGTGACCTTGGGCAAAGTCACTTTATCTGTCTGGGTCTCGATTTCTTCATCTATAAAATGAAGGGACTAGATAGAGCCCTTCCAATTCTTAATCTATAACCAGATGACTATTGACCTGTGAGGTCCCTTCCAACTCTAGAAATAGGTGAGGCTCTGTGCTGGGTGCTATGGGGAGAGAGAAATAAGATGTATACAAATAACTTTAATGCACAGTACGAATTAAAAGTGTCCTAACAGGTACAAAGTACTATGGGAGTTCAAGGAGGGACATATCACATGTTGATGAAAGAACAGTTAAGACTTCATAGAGAAGATGACATTTAGGTTAAACTTTGGTGGTAGAGTAGGAACTGAATAGGTAAAAGCTTGAGAGGAGCACTTTAGGTGAAGGGAAAGGCAGAAGCAGAAGCAAAGAGTCAGGAAAGAGCAGAACATGCTGGGGAAATGTCAGGTTAGTGAATTTTGCCGTGTAGGGTCTGAAAGGTGAGGAAATGAGCCAGAGGGAGGGATAAGATCACCAAGGGAGAAAATAGAGAGAAAGAGAGAAAGAGAGAGAGAGAGAGAGAGAGAGAGAGAGAGAGAGAGAGAGAGAAGAGGGCAGGACCTGGCTAGTACAAACCTTTAGGTGCAGAAAGAAGAAAAGATTCCATCAAAAGACAGAGACATATGTAGAATCAGGAAGAAAATCAAGTGAATGCAATGTGACAGAAACCAAGGGAAGAAAGACTTTATAGAAGTTCAGAATGATCAGCAATGCTAATGTGGCAGAGAGGTCAGTAATGATGAGGTTAAGAAATGGCAGACTTGTGACGGTCAGGTATTAACACAGGTTACCCTTGCATTGGTTTGTGTCTTCTGTGTTGTTGCCACTTAATATGTGAAATGACTGACCAACAAGAATCTTCTCCATTTGCTTGGTATGTTGGTGCCTTGAAGAGAAATCAAAAATTTCATCCACCAATTTGAGATGGAGTGATTTGACTTTAAGATTATCACATTATTAGCAGCCAAACAGGTAGCAAACAAGTAAAAATCACTCCTGCATTTAATGAAATCTAAGGGATTCTTTGGGGGGAAAAAAACAAGGGTTTTTTTTTAACCACCAAAAGGAAAATGTATCTTTTAATACTCATTAAATAATGAGTCAAACAACGAAGATGAGAATTTAGCCAATCATTAACAATTATATGTTTCTGGGGCAGGTAGGTGGCACAGTGGATAGAGCATCAGCCCTGAAGTCAGGAGGACCTGAGTTCAAATCCCGCCTCAAACCAAACACTTGACACTTACTAGCAGTGTGACCCT